TGGAGTCTCTCCAGGGGCTAATGCCGGTCCCAAGCCCGAATAAAGGAGAAGGGTTGGACATGGGGTTAGCGACTCCATCACGTAGAAAACCAACTCGCTAATAAACCTTAACCAGAAAAAATTATTCAAACCTTTTTCAAATTACAGATTTCAAAAAAACGAGAAATTTTATAATCAATCGGTCGCGTAAACTAGTATAAGAATGGATTTCATGAATTCACTGTAATTAGCCTAGACAAGAATATACCGTTAATTAAATAGTTATTCTACTACATAATATCATTTAGCTTTAGCTAAGAAAACTGATCTTCAATATACACACAGATGAAATTATTTGTATAAAAGCAAACTTTTACTACCTAAGTCTACTCAGTATTATCATTAATTCACAGAACTCAAATGAGATGAAACTATTGAAGATTTTCTATACTAAGCTTAGCAGACATATTTGTTATAGTTTTGCTCATTATCCACATGTATCTATGCGCGATTTCACATTAATTTACTTGATTGTATCAATTGTAAAATGAACACTAAATTTTTCTTTAGCCAAATGGTTTACAAAAGGGCAGCTCAATGTATCCAATAGGTATCTGAACATGATAAACGTTTCAATTTTTCATATTTTGGGTGACAATAACATTAGAGGTTGAGGCATAATAATGACTAATTACATTAGGTTACTATTGAATTATAATTCAGTTAACTTTTGATGAAGTAGTAATGGCTATTTTTCCTAATAATCTATGATTTTCCGAATGCTAGTCTATTATAAGAACAATGATCACTAGTTAGAGAATAAATTTATTCAATAAGTTAGATAAAGATTAAACGTATAAAAACTACACTCTTTTATGCTTGGAAGTTAGATTATAGCAACTCACATGCAATTGAGTTCGTTCTCATTTAACTCAGTTTAGCCCTTTTGTTAACTTATTTAGCGGACAAAGTCATCCGTACTATAACAACTTATTGTACCTTTATTATTGTTGTGCTTGTATGAAAAATATGTATGCTTAAACATTGCTTACCGCTTACGCATATATTCATTCTACTAGCTTTATTATTAACTGCTTAATCGATTCGATGACCCATTCATTTCCCTATATATATACACGTACATTTAACACTCTACACTCTCGGTTCGCTGACTCACTCATTCGCCTCATTGCTTTGTGGTATGAGTTATCTGCTAATAAAACTGTAATCTCTGCTTTTCTCTTTGCCTTCTGATTGCAAACACCGTTGAGAATTATATGGTAACGGTTATGAGGGTGATTGATCAACGAAGCACAGTCACTACAAGATAATCGAGAGAAATATTGTTTATGACATTAAGTTGCAACATAATATTGCCACTTATTCATTTCGTTAATTATAGCAAACAACACAGATAAGTAAAAATTAGTCAAACACTAAAATTGATAAAAAGAAGCATTCAGTTTAGTTTCTATTCATATCTATGATTCATTCGTTTCATATTTCTTAGCAGAACAAATCATGGAACTATTTAATGATTTAAATCAAACACTCGATAATTCTTGTTTCTACATATTTTAATAAACATTAATTCAAAAGTTGTTATTTGACCAGACAACAACAAGATTAATCTGTTTATTTAATAATCCGTAGATAGATAAATTTGTGTCTAAAATAATAAAATCTTATTGGACAACATTTAATGGTGCTTTTGTTTGTGTAAAGATTTTGCTACTTAATATAAATAAGTAGCACACTCTATATTCATCCATATAAAGTTAGATATACATGTTACAATCCCCCTCCCTCATACAAAAGGGATTGATTCTATGAATTCAACTACATATTATTGAATAATGTTAATGAAACCTTATTTATTGGATCTGACATTTTATTTTATATTTTTAGTAAAAGGCGTCCATGTAACAAATCTACAATACAATTTATGTGGAAATGTCATGTATAGAAATCTCGGTTTTTTAAAAAAAAAGAAATATAGAAAAACAATTTACCTTTGTAACAATAGAAGATCCTTCTAAAAGTCTAGAATGAAGTTATTTTGAAAAGAAAAAAAAGGTAATAAAACAATGATAAATACAAGTAGATTATTGAAGGTAAATGATTAAGTCCATAAACAATTGTTTTATACTTTCATTAATATGATAGTTTGTTTGAATTATACCAACTTATCAATTACTTGAATTTAAAGTATTCATAGTGAAATTCAACAAAACATAATTGAATGGAAAAATGACATTAAACTGTAGAAAAAATATACAACTCTCCTACGTGTGTATTTCATTCCAGACAAGCTTTAGTTGAAGAATCATTGAAGATGTAGGTTGAGTGTATTGTTGTTTCGTCTCAACCTAGAACTCATTAGAAGTTCACACCAAATAAAATGCACCGAACTGAAAAGTAGGGTATTTCGATATCTCTGTGAGAATTATGTTTTTAGTCTTCTGAATTATAGTCCTGTACAGTTTATCTAAGAGCATAATAGAAAGTGTGAACAACTAGGTAATTCATAATGAATTACAGTAACATTGTATATGCAACAATCCGATTTAAATCTTTTAATGAAAGTGAATTTAGTATATGTCATAAAGGAATATAGAACCAACCATATTCGCTGCTTTACATTTATTTAAAATTGTATTTCAATTCCATGATAAAACTGTATTAAAATTATGAACTTTATGTGGTGTTTGAATGAACTAATATACCATTGTACTTGTTGAATGCTTGATTTCGAATTCTAAATACAATACATTCGTTCGTGCTTGTCTAGTACTTCTTGATTTAATTGCTTTATTTATGAGACTCTTAGTTCGTACTACAATCCAAATAATTCGAAACATTATACCTTAGTCTATGCATCAGTTTTTTGTAGATTTATTGTACCAGTTACTCATTTAGGTAATTAAATATTTAACATTAGAATATTAAACAGACCTAGTTGTGATCATGACGGATAACGTCCTTATGTAGAAATAATTTTTAAAGATTTTACTGCTATAAAATTAAAGTGAAATATTTAGGGAATTCAGGTAACTGAATTTGTCGAAATAAATTTTTTATAACTCTGAAAGACTGATTAGTGATGTTGAGGTTTCTAATGACAAACAGACTTCGCTTAGAAAACTTTAGAAAGCCCTAGGTAGCTATCCCATCCTAATGAGATTCCTCATTGGCATTCATCTATGAAACTTACAATGTTGTGCGACCATCATCATTTAATATTAGTGTTATATAACTCATGTCTGACGTAGTTAATTAATGTTGTATCATTTCTATCATAAGAAATTAGTAATGATATATAAAACAATTATTTATAATCATTCCATAGCTAAATATTTTACACAGAAGTGAAAAGTTTCAATTTGTGCTTAAGAAAGGCAAAACATGTATTAATTTAAGTTTGTTATTGACCTTGTTTCTAATCAGGTCATTCCCTATTTTCATTTTAGGATACATGCAAAAAGATATAAACACAACAGAAATATGGATATTGTGTATTTCTTGGATAATTACAACCAATTAATCAAGTGTAACCTTAAGCTTTATATATATATATATATATATATATATATATTTCTAGATAATTTGATTATGGGTATTAATACCAATATTAGACTTGATAGTTTCAAATAACTTGAGAATTGAGCAGAGACTTAATGATAAATATATTTTTTGTTGTGTCCCAAAAAGTAGAAAAAAGTTTATTTCTGATGTTTCGTGACTTAATGTAAGCTATTTCTTCAGAGTAAATAAATAACCGACATTAGATTAGCAAAACTTTAAATAGTACAAAGTAAACAATGCAAAATATTTTTTAGAACAATCAAAGTCATAATAGGTCTGAATATGTCAATTTCAAGTTATTCTTGGTCAAACTGAATTTATATGACCTGTCACATTATTAATTTATGTGTTAGTATGTGGGTATGAAAAATGTATGGATTTGTGATGTGAAGTAGAAGGTTGATATATTTTGCACTATTTCCTTCATACTAACGAAAAGTGTGTTAGTTTAATTTCAGATGTTTATTTACTCTGAGGAAGCGGCTTACATTAGGTCACAAAACGTCAGCAATATAATTTTTCTACTCATTGAGATATAAGAAATATATATCTATTATTAATATGATTATATTTTCAGTAGTACAGATGTTGTTAAGCTCTTTGTTAGTTATTCAAATTACAGTTCATAATTGTTAATTTTTAAGTCCCATTCCACATATGGTTGTGAATGAGCACTGCCGAAAAGTTTCATATGAAGATGAAAACAACTGTTCAGAGCTCTTTGCATGTTACGGTTTATTCCCATGCAAGTCAGTACAGAAATATGAAAATTCAGATGTTTAGCAGTAGTTGAATTTCCATTACTACTTTTTTTAATCGTGATCACTTTGGAATTTTTATTATCTCTTGTAATTCTTACACCGAATCGAAGATATTTTCAGTCAGTGAACAAAATATTATCCAAAACTTTTTTAATGTTCATTGTCAGGCAAGTTCTATAGTGTACATTAAAAAAGGGATGAAAGTGATCAATATGGCGGCTTATATAAATGGTCACCCTTATTCTTTTCATAAGTTATATACTTTATACGGAAATCCATACCTGTGTGCATATTTGTGTGTGCTTTTCAATACATACATATTCAATCACTGACATCACCATTATTCACTAATTTTACATTAATTTTGCGTGCAAAGATATACACACATACATTCCACAATTTATTTAATATCATATTTAAATTTTTTCATCAGACCACATAACATATAAGGCAAACAGACAGCAACAGTAAAGCTTATTCTATATTGATGCCAGACAATTAGCCAACTAAAATCTCTGGGAGAATAAGTCTGCCTGATTCATTTAAAAATCACCAACACACACATAGATATATCTACATAGGTGTTGTAATGTATGCCTTTATCCAAATACTTTGGTGCAGCCTACGCAATATTAATTCCTTTTATAAAGCACAATGCATATGGAAAATATTTCCATATAGAAAGACGTGATATCCTAGTAACTGCTATATATTTTTTCTAAAGAATATTTGTAATTATTACAACTGATCGTAGTACTAACGTGAGATCACTTGGTGAAAAAAAATCAAAATATTTGTGTATTCTGATTCTTCATTTGAATAATAGACAAATCTCAATATTAAAAGTAAGTCTGTTTCATAGTTTTAATTTTGTTAAATCCCTTTATATTCACTGGATAAACTCTGACTAATGTCAAATTTTGAATATACACTATTTTTAAGCAAAGATGGATAGTGGCTAGCAGTGGAATCCAGGACGTGCGTTTCGTCCTGTTTGGGACTCGTCAGCTGGATGTACCTGCACCTCAGAGTTGATGTTCACTCTGGGACTCGAACTCAGCACCGTTCGCTTCAAACGCCATCGCGTTATCCACTTAGCTACTGAGTCCTGATAGCCACTTGCTTGTGCAATGGGTTGAAGTTGAATTCACTTGATATTGTTTTATTTGAATCGTCCCATTGACTGATCAATTTCAGTCCTAAAACGATTCAAATAAAACAATATCAAGTGAATACATTATTTTTGTTTATTTAATCTGAATATAAAGTAGACGTGGTAAATTAAATTCTAATGAGTATGAAACAGTAACATCAATTACATTTGATTATTTCACTTTATTGATAATAAGCTGAAGGTGAAAATTTTACAAATTCGATTTCTGCTATATGGTCGAAAAATTATTTTGATCTCTATAGAATCTATTGATATTGGATTCATTTGAATCCTCAGTATACACTGAAAAGTAGGTCAGAACTAGGATGAAACGTTCATACAATATTTCGTGGGTTTTGTGTTGTATTAACCTGGTCCGAGAACTACAAAAGCCCAGATTTCTTAAATTCATTTACTGTTTTAAAATATAGAATTTCGACTAAATACGACTTCAGCTAATTAGAGATATGCTAGTTGATTTAATTTCACTTGGAATAGATCGTAAATATTGACTCAACAATTAATATCTAGTGTATTTGACTTTTTTAAAATATTTAATTCATCTATATCTAAAGTGTCCAAAAGCAAAACATCTATCATTGGCAGAAACTGTTTCATTTAGTTTAAAGCTAATGTTCTAAGTTATATGAGAATAATCAAACTAATTGTTAATTGTAAAGCAAAATAATATAGAGTCCTACTGATGAATGATTAATTGTAAACGACGTCATGTCAATAGATATTTAGTGCTGAGTACATCTTATAGATCACGATGAAATGTGGTCATTAGATTACATAACCTAAATTTAATATTTTTGGTCGATTTTCAACTATCACTTTGTATCAGAAATCTATTGTGTCATTCAGTTTTCAAATATTTCAGCACTGGAATATTTAATCAATAATCATTGAATTTAGTTATAGTTTGTATAAACTATAAAGATTTCACGAACTATCTATTGATAAATTGCTGTCATATTCATTCTTGTTTATTACACAAATGCATATTAGTTCCATACGTATATACATGCCCATACAAAAACATATATATATATATATATATATATAAATGAATACCTATTAGGTAAGTAAAGACAATTAATAGGAAGAGCTAAACATCGGTTTGATGTTGGTACTTATCTGCAAGATATCTCTAAAATCTTTAGGAAACTAATGTTCCTCATTTGTTTCAAACATGATTTATATAAGAAACAAATACAATTAGGTACAGTATCGAGTTACATGGATTAGTGATTTAATCCGAATTTCATAAATACTATTAAACTATCATTAAGGTCTAAACAGCAGTACGATGTAGATTACTCATTTATTCAATGACCATATCAATAAGTGTGCTCTACTAAAAGGTTTGGAATAACAACTAAAAGATATTTCACATAATATGATATTGATTTATTTGGGTCAGAACTTACATTTATACAAGTTAATTTAAAAACTAAAAGATGACTTTCGATTAAATTTTCAGAATTAATTTATAACATTCAGATTAAAAATAAGACCTACTCAGAAAGGTTTGTCATTTCTGGTTTGATTCAAGTGTAACTATCAAGAATATTAGTATCAAGAACGATTTTCAATCATATTTCTCTCAAGATAATGTAGATTACTGTAAAATACTTATTTCATTAGAAACATTATTTGAACTTACGTTAAACAATCTTGATTTAACCTGTCTTTTTTTTTATTTGATTCAAAAAAACTAATCTACCGTAATAAGATATCAAATTGAATAATAAATATAAAGCGCCAAATGTTTATTTTTAAATCAAAGTTTGTTTACACTTTACTAGTTCAAACTAAATCATATTCACTTAAACACATGCTGGGTCAATAAAGTAGAAATTTCCTTGTTAAGCAATTTCTATATTGTGTCCATCTTCATCTGTGTTCTGTATGTTTGAAATAATTCTATTTTTTTTCTAAAAAAAACCCTGAAAGTTATGTAACAGAAATCGATAATCGACCAGTATAAAAGTCTGAATGTTCATACTGAATGTGTAAATGTGCACAGATAAAAAAACAAAAGAATATAAGCCCCAAAACAAAAGGGTTACATAACTACATATTAGTGATTCATATATTTTTGTTTCAGTTTTAAAAGTTTTTAAACGGAAATTTCAATCAATAAATACTCGAAATACAAAAGTAAGATGCCAAGAAAACTGCATAGTGATTATGTTAGGCAAAATATTTCATTTGTTTATAATATATATTTTGTTCAGAATAGGACGAGAATGGAATGCATGTATATATAGTTGTTTTTATTTAATATACAAGAAGTCAAATCATTGAAAAATTAATTGTTTATGTTAATCTAAGCTTCTAGGTTAAGTTGTTTAATTTACCTCAAGCGATCTAGTAAACACGAATACGTAACAGCTGTTAAAATGTATTGGATATTTGTTTATCATATGGAATTAAGAAGTACTTCGTAATAAAACAACTATATCAACAAAATTCTCTCATTAGTTGTGATCGAATAATATTGACAGTGATTGTCACTAAGTATTGAATTTCTATCAACATTTGAATATTATAGGTAGTCAGAAGGAATGTCTACAAGTATAAAGGTGATTAGCATGCATAATGAATGAAAAATCAAAATTGTTCTCTAGACTCGATCAGCAAAACTTTTGATCTAAAGTTAAAACCGATCACAAAGTTTGAGAAACCCAAGTTGTTGATTCATTTACCTGGCCATTAACAGAGTTTATTTATTTCTTTTATCTGTATTTTTAATTCCTTTATACATTGTTTCATTGAATTTAACTGGTAGGTAACCTCATATGTGAACAAGTAAAAAAGGAGAATTCATGTATTCGTAACAATACCTAACTACTGTTTATAACAGCAAATTATTTTCTTCACAAAAACAGATTTGGTTTTTGTATGATCTTTTTATATACCACGGCTTTACATCAATTCATAACTATTATGTGATGTATATGTCGCTCAATTTTGTGTTTTAGTTGAAGTTAGACATTAACACCGTCGGATGCCGGCTCAGTGGTCTAGAGAATAAGCGCTCACGCGCGAGACTGATAAGACCTGAGTTCGAATCTCGTGGGGCGTGATCGTGGATGCGTACTGCTGAAGGGTTCCACAATAGGAGGAAACGGCCGTCCAGTGCCTCTAGGTTTTCCATGGTAGTCTAGCTTCAGTTGACTCATGATCTCAACTATTGAAATTGATATAACATCCACGAAACCCCTTCTGACATTAAAAATATTTATCAAATCTATATTACCTTAACTAAAATTAGGATAAGTAATCAAAAAATATCACAAGTATGAACATAATAGGTTTTGCTAGTATTCATTGTTAAAATCTTGACAGAATTTGACTAAAATGCAAAATACATCTGGTTAATGTTTTCCTGAACCTAACTGAAAATTAGTTGTAGACATAAGTGTAACTATTTGGTGTATGAACGTAAATTAATATTGTGAAAACATTTTAAATTCTATTTTGCTTTTTAGTTTATTTATTAATTGAGATTTGAATGATGGTTAGATGTATACACGTCGTTTATTTTTGTACTTTATTCTCAATTGCTTAATAAGTTCCCGGTAATTCATCCATTAGTATAATAGCTGACGGATTCCAATAAACGTTACACTATATCTTGACTTGACCAAACTTTGGAAATGTAAATCTTCATGTTGAAAAATCAATTTTTCAAGGATAAGACTCCCTCCTGCAATACTTGAAAGATTTTTTGTCGAATTCTCTGTTGTGTTGTTGGCAAGACTATCAAACAGTACTACTTGGCTGTTGATGATTCCTCAAATGATACAAATTTGAGAAAAAAAATATCACCGATATTTGTATTTTAACATATTAACCATTCCCATTGAAACTTTAAATTATAAGCGAATATAGATAGTGCTCATCAGTGGAATCCAGGGCACACTTTCGTCCTATTTGAAACTGGTCAGCTGGGTCTACCTTCATCCTAGAGTTGATATTTACTGCGGGACTCAATATCAAGGCAATCCGCCCAGCATACTTATGTACTAATAAGAGACTAATCAGTTTAAGTCCTAAACATCAATGGGAAGATTGATACACGCAGCAGAAAATGAAGACGAAGATTATCAGAACTATGTGATATATTAATGCAATGCATTCAAAAACAGTGTGTTCTCACATTATACCTACCCTGGTAATTTTAGCTTATTATCCATAGTGATGAGATTTCGAATTGTTTTCATATTGTTTCCCTTATTTTCCTCTTTCTAGTATAGTTGATCCTTCTATTTTTATATATAAATGTTCTGAACAATTATATATGTGTGATCAGATTGTTCGAAATGTATTGCGCTAATATATCATCATATAGTTCTAATTATCTACATCTTCTTATTACACTATTGAAATCTATCAATGGGATTCATTGCTTCAAATACAATATGAATATAAATTATAAGTTGTATGTTTCTTTAATAAAAAGAAATCTATAACAACTTAACTAAATGCATACATAAATGCATCCGTTAGTTGGTGAACTCTATTTCCATTGATTTCTTTGTGAAACTATTATGTCATTAAATGTATTGTTATCTAAGTAAAACTCTTTACTTAGATAACAATATATTACCATAATTAAAAAAAAATATATTGACACCATGAAGAAGTATTTTCATAATCAACATTGAATTATTTCATCAA